ACACACACACACACACACACACACACACACACACACACACACACACACACACACACACAGAGTCGTGCTCTTTTTGTGGAGTTGTATATAGCGAACATAACACATACACACACACACACACACACACACACACACACACACAAACAGAGTCCATTCGGAGGGAAGACGGTAGTGAGATCGAGGATTCAATAACGAATGAGGGACGAGGGCAGTCACACAAGTTTGTGCTAACAACAAGGACAACCGGTTTGAGGGGCCAGATACCAACGATCGATACGAAATGCCACTGGCAGAGCCTACTTCGCAGGAAGGAAGTGAACCATAAACGGAAAACAACCCTAAACGGGAAACAACAACATATAAACGGAAAATAACAATCAGAAACGGAAACTAACGAAGAGAAACGTAAAACAACGATCAGAACAGGACAATAACATCAGAGAATTTGCATTTTCCCCGTCGCACAGCCACGAATACACGTGGTAGCTGCTGCACCAAGTGTTAAGGCCTACTAGTTGCACTACTCGCCATCGGTGAAGATTTTGAATGCATCTGGACAATATGCATTCGGATTGTTGACGGATGGCGAGTGGTAACAACTATTACCTTTTACCCTCCCGCTGTGTTACTCGCCCAACGAGGAAGGCGTGTATGTTTCCACTGAAAGAGATTCACAAAACACACCACCCATCAAACGCCACTTTCACACCCTCCAGCCTTCCGGCTTCCACACTACGCTGCACATTCACAATCTTTCCGATTCACATTCGCAGACTTCCAAAGTTTCCCATTACTGCGCTTGAATGTTGACATCAAATTTTCAGAAAATAATTCACATCGGGTTTCAGAAAACAATTAAAATTATGAATGTTGACATCAAATTTTCAGAAAATAATTCACATTGGGTTTCAGAAAATAATTCACATTGGGTTTCAGAAAACAATTAAAATTATTTTTAATTCACATCGGCTTTCAGAAAACAATTAAAATTATGAATGTTGACATCAAATTTTCAGAAAACAATTCATTGGGTTTCAGAAAACAATTAAAATTATCTTTAATTCACATCGGGGTTCAGAAAACAATTAAAATTGTGAATGTTGACATCAAATTTTCAGAAAATAATTCACATTGGGTTTCAGAAAACAATTAAAATTATCTGTCAGAAAAAAAATCACTGATTGGTTTTCAGAAAACAGAAAGAATCGCCATTCCAGCGTGCGTTAGCTTTCACTTGAGACTGAAACATGATACTTTTCTGCCTTCTCCCCACGCGGGTAAACCACATGCCAAATTGGCCTGGGTGACACTTTTGAGCTTCATCCTTCTCCTCCTATACGGTTGCTTCAGTTCAATTGATTATAATCCAGACAGGAGTGACCTGGTTCCACTTCAACCACTGGATCGCTTCCAAACTCTTCACTGGTTGCCTGCCCTCACAACCTTTTGTCACTCCCACAAATCTTCAAAAAGAGCTCGTTTTCCTTTTTTTTCTTTTTCTTTTTTTTTTAAAAAGGGCGACGGCCTTGAGACATTATCATTGAGCTGACCGGCCCCAAGCAATTCACTAATAGTTGGTTTCACTTGTCAAGTTCCATCATCTGGATTCGAACACAGGTCTGTATTTCAACAGTTCATGGGTGTGGTCCCCACTGAGCTGGGCTCTTGGGTACAAAGAGCTCGTTTTCACACTTTGTCACAAACAGTCATCTCACCCGTGACACGTCACCTTAACACTGTCGAGCTTCGCTTTCAGACGTTTCACGAAAATGTCCACAACACTCATATATACTCCAGAAATAATCTCTAACATTGCATCCACATAACCCTCCCGAGCCGCACTTTCGCAACGACTTCACTTTCCCACAAGTGGTTCTCACGCATCTCGCTTTCTGAAGTATCGAGACTTCCACACATAGACAATTTCACCTTTACATATATAGATTGTCACACTGTGTATATATATCGTCACATGAATATCAGAGCGCAAAGGCGAAAAAAAACAGAAGAAAACAAGAAAGAAATAATTCGTTTTTTATCTTCTTTCTTACAACTCCCCTGGTTCAGAACCTCTTGCTTACAAAGCCGCCCACGTGGATGTAGGTTGAGCGGCGGCTGCCCCCACCCCCGTGTGTCATATCGACCCACTTGCACACAGCCAAAGGGCAAAGAGGCAAAGAAAAGAGGAAGGGAACAGCCAAATACAACAAAACAGGGGGCAACAAACAACAGCACCAATAACGGATCCTAGATGTATATATCGTCATATAGATCTCAGAGCGCAAAAGCGAAAAAAAACAAACAAAGGAAACAAAAAAATATCAATTCATTTTTTAACTTATAATAACGGCATATCACCACCTAAAACCACGCAGTTCCTACACTTTCATTCTCCAGATACAGTGCCGCTCCTCTAACACCACTGGAAAATTCGACCATAATGACTCCCACTTGAATCTTATTCAATCTCCACAAGACGAATCTTCTTCAATCCATGTGCAATCCGATCTCCTCCCGAAAGCACTCGACCGATTTCATACACGTGTAATTTGGTGCAATACTGTATAAGTTGAACAGCCTTACGCACGTCACTTCCATACGCTGAACAGATATTCTTATTTCTTCATTAATTAATCAACCTCTACCGAATGTGACTTTCTCGTGTTGAGCAGCGAAAAGGCAACTCAAACATTCATCAAGCGACTGGCCTCGACACACACAGAGAACCAACACACACCCGGCAAGTTCGACAGGTCTGCAAACTTCCTTCTTCCCCCGAATACAATCTACGGTCATTGCAAATTACCTTCTTCCCCCGAATACAATGCACGGTCATTAGAGCTGTATTCGAGCCATCTTTCAATCTAGACACATTTATAACGACCAGCGGGAATATACGTCAACGAAGTAGCAAACACGACGGAATACCCATTCAACAATGGAATGCACTGGTGATGAAAGAACATGAAGAAGATTAACAAAAACGAATTCATTCTTTTTTCTTTTTTCTTTTCGCTTTTGCGCTCTCATATCCATGTGATGATATATAAGTGACTGAAATAAGCGCTGCCTTAACGTAAAAATGACGACAAAGAGGAGCCATGGCAGGAAGATAAGCTTTAGGGGTTTACTTACCACTAGCTTTCGGCTCCCGACTGGGGCGTCCTCGCCATCGGAAGTCATGCCGTTCATTGTCAAAAACTCTCCTCCGCGCTCCTAGCACGCTCTCGCGAGAGTTTTCGATCTCGTGCGCGCTCTCGTTGTCGTACGCTCTCGCGCTCACGCCTTCTCGCTCTCCTTGAGTGTTCCACTTGCCTCACGCCACGCTCTCACGCGCTCAAGGGAAGCACACACGCACCACCCACACACGAGCGCACGCACACAAACAAACACACTCACACTAACACTACCCACGCGCTGCAACTGCGCGGCGAACTTGCGCGTGTGTCGCGGTATGATGGCCAACGAAGCAACTCTCGACATGAGCAGCACAAAGGGGGCCGTTATTTCTCCCTTCCTCACACTGCTCGAGAGACAAATGCTCAAGAGATTGAACCGCAAAAAAGAGGGAGAGCGTGCTCACATGCCTCGCTAGGAACCTGAGGTGCGATCGACTTACCAAAGAGCTTGAAACAGCAAGTGGAAAAGGCTTCCCTCTCTCCGCTCAGTCTTCAAGATCCAGTGTCTGCAAGAGTCGGACGCGTACTGGCTCTCTTCCTCTTCCTCTCGCTCTCTCCTCTCTCTCTCTCCCTCTCACCTCTCCTCTCCTGCAGTGATGCATACCCGTTATCCAACAGAACCATAACCATACAACCTTCACACACCTCCATTTTCTCTGTACACCCACCCCTTTTCCCCCCTCACTTTTTCACCCTCCACTCTCCCGGTCGCACACGTACAGTCACGCACCGACGATTGCGCCCTCTCTACACCCCTCCCCCCCGTGTCATTCACAGCCTTTGCTTCACTCAATGACTTACTGTGCATTACATATCCTCTTGCCTTCTGGTCGATCAAGACGCTGTCATGCATCTCTCTTTCCAAGGGGTTAGGTACAAATGCCATGCAGAAATCTGTAGTACTTTTCTTTCTTATTCCTCTCTCTCTCTCTCTCTCTCTCTCTCTCTCTCTCTCTCTCTCTCTCTCTCTCTCTCTCTCTCTCTCTCTCTCTCTCTCTCTCTCTCTC